AAGTTTGTGTTAAAAAGTCTGATATAGGGCCAGGGATGTAGCTCAGTGGTTCTGCCACCTGCCTGACAAGCGCAAGGTCCCAAGTTCAATCCCCGGTACAAAAAAAAAAGAAAGAAAGAAAAGTCTGCTGTAATACTGATGGGTTAACCTTTATAAGTGATTATTTCCTTTTCCCTGACAGCTTTTAACATTTGTGTCCTTGTGTTGGACTTCTGGGATTTTGACTATGATGTGTTGTGGGGAGCTTTTCATTAAACTTATTTAGCCTTCTGAAAGCCTCGCTTACCTGTCTGTTGAGTTCTTTTCTAATACTTGGAAACTTTCATGCTATTAACAGATATTGTATTCCATCTGTGCTGTCCTCTAATTTCTGACTTCAGTTTAGGTTAGTCTTCTTAGCACCTAGTAGCTATTGGATGAATTTTCCTTGCTCTCTTAAATTTTTAAGGTTTCTCCGAATATACAGTGGGCCCTTGACTTACGAACTCAATTCATTCATGAGAGCTGGTTGTAACTCAAGTTAGTCAGTTGAAGGCTCAGGCTCCTCTACACAGCCTTCAAAATCTCATGTCCTTAGTGAGACTTTGGCCCAGGATTTCTCAGTTATCCTCACACAGAAAAAGATGTAGTGTTCCTTCTAGACCTCTTTAAGGGTTAAATCTGTATCTAAGACCATCTGGAAACACAAGCAGTGAGCATTCAGGTCATAATGCAAGACTTTGGTCATAAGTTAAAACTAAGATTCCAGTTGTAACCCAAGTTACATATGTCAGGCTGGTTATAACTCAAGGGTCCACTGTATCTTTGTATGTTTTCATTTTTTCATTGAGGTCTAAGACACTTCTCACATTGGTCATTTCTGCTGTTCAAATATTCAAAAGAATAATCTCTAGGATTTCTGTTTGGCACCTTCTCATGCAGTCTGTTTTTTGGTTAATTTGTCATTCATGTTTTGAATAGTTTTGGTCAGCTCCTCTAATTTTTTGTTTCTTCTATAACCACCTTGGTCAGTTTGTTAGTTACATTATCTTTTGGGTTATGTCATCTGTGAGCTCACTGAGGTTCTTTGCTTCCTCTTTAATCATTTCATATAGCTCAGCTATTGGGTGTTTGATTTCCTCTTGACTGGTGCTCCTTGTATCTGCACTGGGAGATTTGGGAGTCTTTGGTGACATTTTATTGCCTTGTTATTTTGTGTTCCTATTTTTTATTTTTGTGTATGTGTGCTGAGGGTTGAGTTCAAATACAGTGAAGAAAATTTTTTATTGATGTGATGTCTTTAAGGTCTGATTCCCAGTGATGTGTTTTTGGTTTTATTTGTCAATAGGTTTTGTTTAACACTTCAGCCTGCTCAATTTAATTGGTTAGGACTATCACTGTGGTATAAGGAGAGAATTTCTACTGGTTATAACAGCATAGCAGGTTCAATCATACACCAGTGATAAACATTAAAACTTGTCTTACTTTTTTATTAATACCCCTTATAGTTTATATTATATTGCTATTTGCAGATCATCTGGGATATGGAAGGTTGGGGAAGGAAAAAGGAAGGGACTATGTCAGTGGGGAAAGAGAGAAGTAAGAGAATTGTCAATAGGTTAAAAATAGGATGTTGGACTATTGCAATTATTTTTATATCTGTGATGCAGGGCTAGTATTGAGGGGTTTGAGAGAGTATTTGTGTAGTGAGGAAGAAGTATGTAGATGGTCAGAAGTGGATTTAGGTATTGAGGGAGGCTATAAGATTGTCACAACTTGTGAATATATTTGTAGCTTTGTTTGGATCCTCTAACCCTAATTTTGTTTAGAATTACCTTGACATGTCCTTGAATGGTACTGTTTAAGTTATAGCACTGGTTAATTCTTATTCTCAAATGCAAATATACAGGCCCTTGTGTATCACACAAACACACACACACACACACACACACACACACACATGCCATATGATAGGTGGAAAAGAGGAGGAAGAAGACAGGGAGGCAAGAAAATGTAGAAAAGAGGAGGAAAAGGAATAGGAAGGGAAAAAAAGCTCAAAAAATAAAAGTGAAGGACTAAAAGAGGGAGCAAGACAAAGAAGAAAACCATAAAGAATAAAGTAAAATAAAGTAACAAACAGTATGAATAAAGAAGCAAACAAACAGAAAAAGCAAACAAAAACCAACCAAGATAATGGAAAACAAACAAACAAGAAGTGACAATAAAAATTAAAACCTTCCCATAGTTGTTATAACATTAACCTAAAGCCATGATGGTGAACCTGAGGCATGTGTGCTGCAGCAGGCATGCAGAGCCCTCTCTATCAGCATGTGCGACAAGTTGCCAGGATGTTTTTTCCAAACTAAAACCTCAGTATTCAGGTTTAATTGCAGTGTTGGCACTTTGCAATAAATAAGTGTATTTGGGGTTGCAGTTCTGGCACTGAGTCTCTAAAAGGTTTGCCTAGAGCATCCACATTAGCTCCAGGAAATGGGTCCAGAGGGAAGTAACAGCCCTCACCACCTTGGGGCAAGCAACTGAATGTTTGATAGGGGAAAACTGCTTCACTGCTTATAATTAGACTGTAACTCCTGTGTAAGAGGAGCTAATGTGGATGCTCTAGGCACTGTACGTTAAACACACAGCAGCACAACTGTGACAGTGTCTGACAGACGTGAGCTACTTGCACAATTTGTTCACATTTACGAATGTTTATAATGCGAGGTCAGTTGGTAGCTGTGAAAGTTTGCAACTCAAATGTTTGTAAGTCAGGGACTTACTATATTGTTTTCAAGCCTGAGGTGCGTGACATTTTGTTTTAAAGCAGTCTCCCGCTTTCAGCCTGTCTGAATGTATCTCATTCACAGGAGGTTAGAATGATTGTGACTGTATTATCAGCCAGGCCACCACTGAAAGGCCAGCTCCCTCCCTCAGTCCAATATCCTCCCAAGTTGTTGTATACACATCTGGGGTGGGGATAGGGTGCCATTATCCAGGAGTGGTTCAAAGAGTGTCCTTTCAAACACCCCTGAGACACTGGAGGCATAGTAATATATTCCTTTCTTCCTTCTCTTATAAGATCAACCTCCACATTAAGTTAGGATCATGTCCTTAGTCCTTACTTAACCTTGATTACCTCGTAAAAGCCCTGTTTCCAAATATAGTCACAGTGCAAATTAAGGCATCAGTTTGAGCAATCTATCACAACCACAGAATATGTTATTCATCATTAGATAGTAGCAAGATTACATCATTGGGAGTAGCTAATTTAATGATTCAGTAAAACAATAAAGGAGAGCTGGGTGTGGTGGGGGAGGCCTGTGATCTCAGCCCTTAGGAGGCTGAGGCAGGAGGATTGCTGAGAGTTCAAGGCCAGCCTGGGCTACATAGTGAGTTCTGGGCCAGCCTGAACTACAAAGTGAGACCCTGTCTCAAAACAAAACAAAAACAAAACAAAAACAAACAATAAAGGAGATAAGTTTGAAACATCATCTTGAATTTGGGGGAAAACCAGATTCCATGTAAGCTAGGGAAAATTCAGCAAGGATAAAGGGGCAAATAAAAATGGAAACAACTGCTGACATTTTATGTATATATATATATATTTACATTTATATATATATATATTGGGGGGGGTACTGGATATCAAACTCAGGACGTTGTGCTTGCGAGGCAGGCAGCGGAACCACTGAGCTAAATCCCCAGCCCCCCACATTTTATATTTTTGACCAAATACCTATAGTAAAAAATAAGAACAATAACTAACACAAACAGCAACAATTATATAATGGCTTGTTGGAGTAGCAGTCTGTAGAATGCTGAGATCATAATAAAGTTATGACATTACAAAGTCAATGGAAAATTTTAATAATCATCAAAATATAGCTGTAATTAAAAACAGGAAACAATAAGGATACATTTTATTCATTTATCATTTCATGAATGGCTTCAAAAAATTAAGTGCCAATACAGTGTCTGTTTTGTCTTTAATTTTATACCTATATACAGTTTAAATAGCTCATATTTTTTAATTTCCTTAAGCTGGAAAGGAATAAAAAAATCACAAAGGAATGCAAAAGTACTCCTCAAATATAACACCAAAGTATAGGAAAATTAATCAGCACTTGATAGTACCTGAGAATAAAAAAAAAGTGGGATGCAAGAGTAAACCAGTAGTGGCAATCATAAAACTCCATATTTTTAAATATACAAAATAAAAATCCTGATAAAATAGTTAACAGATTCATTCTTACTGTGTAGGAAATAGCCACCAATTACATAGCTTATAAAACTTATTTAAATAAAATACAATTAAGGGATACTTATAGAAACATAGCTCAATATAACCAATGATGAAATAGTTACTACTGGTGATCATGCAAAACTTCAAAGAGTACATAAATTTCTGGGAAACACACCAACTTAAAATATGAATAATAGTGACGTCAACTTACCTAAATATAAAATAGTTAAATTTTTTTATAAAAATCTAAAAACCTGTGGCTTGTGATCTTATTTGATTGCATAACCTAGTCATCTGATTTTGGAGTCATATGAGACTACTAAAATCAAAGAAGGTCTACTGTATTTATTGGGGTAGGGTTTGAACTCAGGGCCTCATGCATGCTAATCAAAAGACCAAAGAAAGTTCTGATTATTTGATTGCCCAAACCCAGTAAGCCAACTCTTCAGAGAGAATAAAAAGAAAAATTATAAGAATTGATTAAAAAAATTGAAGCCATGGTAATACATAGTTGTAAATTTAAGAGACTGAGAAATTTTAAGAGACTCGTTAAGTTAGTAATTTTCTTCAAATATTTAAAAATGATCCTGGGGGGTGCACTGGGAATTGAACCTAGAACCTTCTCACTCAGCTACATCCCCAGCCCTTTTTAAAATATTTTTGTTATTTAGTTCAGTGTTTCCGCCACCTGCCTCGCAAGCACAAGGTCCCAAGTTTGATCCCTGGTACCAAAAAAATTTTTGTTTGCTTTGAAACAAGGTCTTACTGAGTTCCCCAGCCTGGGCTCAAACTTGCAATCCTGCTGCATTAGCCTCTCACAGCACTGAGATTACAAGGGTGTGTGCCACTACATTCATCTTGAAAGTATTCCTATCATTTTAATTTTGGCTGGTACTACCTGAAGGTGAAAAAGCTCCTTTAAGGAATTGTTTTGTGATGTACATTTAGAGAAATCTGTTGTGTCAAAATAAAATAGAAGTTTAAAAAGAACTAACCATTTGATGAAAATAGAAAAGAGATTACACACCTACAAATTAAACAAAGCAATAGGCAACAAAAGAAAATTGCACAAATAATTCAGTGCTATAAGACTCAAGAACCATTTTGTATCTAACTGGGAGTTCTCACTCTCTAGGGAAGATAAATACATCATATATAGACATAGAATGCAAAGAAAAAGGTATTTGAGAAATGTTAGAAATTTTTAAAAAGAACAAAAGAGCAAACCATAAACACCAGAAGTTGTTATAAACAAAACATTCCAGAGCAAAAAATTCACATAAAGAGATCTCAAATCATTAATAACTAGGTGAATATATTTCAGAAATGGATGAATAGGGACTGTGCTATGTTAGTAAATAAAAAGAATGTTAATATAATGAGAAATATCTGGCAATATCTAACAAAAAATATGTATATCACCCATGATCGAAGAATTCTATGTCTAAATACAAAGTGGCCATTAAACAGATTTTAGAAAGAGAGAAATATTGAATACCTTTAATTGTCTTATTAAAGCCACAGGTTTTTCTACTGAAAATCAGAAATAAAGGGCCTTCATGTACTGATTTCATCAAATGACTTCCCACCAGTTAACATTTTCTGATGTCAAGAAAGGTGCTCACCTACAGTAAAGGTATCACTATATTCCTTACATTCTAGGGCTTCTCACCCCTATGAATTAATTGATGCTTTGAAAAGGATGAACTATGTCTAAAGGCCTTCCCACATGGCTTGCATTTATAGGACTTCTCTCTAGTATGAGTTTGTTGATGTTCCATAACAGCTGAACTGTGTCTAAAGGCCTTCCCACATACCTTAAGTCATAGGGTATCTCACCACTATGGATTCTCTGATGTTGAATAAAGGATGATATAAGTCTAAAGAACCTCCCACACACCTTACATTCATAAGGTTTCTGACCACTGTGAATTCGTTGATGTGAGGTAAATTCACTACTCCAAATGCTTTTTCACATTCTTTACATTTATAGGGTTTCTCACCAGTATGGATTTTTTGATGTCTAGTGAGGGATGAACTCTAAAGACCTTTCCACCTAACTTGCATTCATAGGGTGTCTTACCTGTATGAATTCTCTGATGTTGAGCAAGTTCTCTACTGGTAAAAGCCTTCCCACATTCCTTACATGTGTAAGGTTTCTCACCAGTGTGAATTCACTGATGTTCAGTGAGCTGTGAATTAATTCTAAAAACCTTTTCACGGTGTATACATTTGTATGGCTTCTCACCAGTATGAATTCTCTGATGTTCGGTAAGCTGTCAATGAAATCTGATGTCCTTGCCACATTTCATACATCTGTAAGGTTTCTCATCAGTATGAATTTTGTGATGTCTTATAAATTGTGCATGAACTCTGAAGGATTTCTCGCAGAACATGCATTCATAGGGCTTCTCACCATCATGAATTATTTGAAAAGGGGCAATGTCTCCAGCTTTTCTTGAGATCTTCCCATATTCTTTTTTGTTGTTGTTACCGGGGATCAAACTTGGGTCCTTGCACTTGCACAGCAGGCGGCGAAACCACTGAGCTAAATCCCCGGCCCTATCTTCCCATATTCTTTACATTTATAGAACTTCCCATGACTATGAATTTTCTGGTATACATTAATGTCTTCATAAACACTAGATGTGTCACCACATTCTATATAATTACAAGGTTTCACCACAGTGTAAATATTCAATTGTAGTGTATGTGAATTATCTATCCCAAAGGATTTCCAGCATTCATTACATTCATAGGTTTTCCCACCAGTAAGTATTCTCTGATATTGGTCACAGTCTGAATCACAATCGAAGACTTTCCCATATTCTTTATATTCATGGGGCTTCTTACTGTCATGCATTCTCTGAGATAATGTAACACTTTTGTGATTTTTGTAATTGGGCTCTATTTCAGAGATTATTTTTATTTGACTGAGACATCCCCCCCTTCAAGTCATTGTACTTCAGTCTTGCTTTTGCTTTGCCAGTCATTTCTGAAAATGGAGCTGTTGAGGCTAGGATACTCTCCAAATGAGAAATACTACTTTCAATAATGGCCTTTCCACCGTGCCTGCCTTCCAAGCGCAAGGTCCTGAGTTCAATCCCTGGTACCACCAAAAAAAAAAAAAAAAAAAAAAAACCAAAATAATAATCCCCTTTTCTATAGATGAACTCTTTGTCTCATACCTCGTTTCCAGATCTGAAAAGGAAAAATTTTTATTTTTCATGTGTCACAAAAATAAAACTTATAAAAAGCAGAACAAAATAATTAATGTTAAGTGAATGGTTAAAACAGTATTATGAGGGCCCGGGATTTATAAATGCTCAGTGGTGCAGCTGCCTGCCTCACAAGCGCAAGGCCCTGAGTTCAATGCCTGGTACCAAAAACAAAAACAAACAAACAAAAACAGTATTATGAAATTTGGAGAAAGATAAAGACAACTCAGAGAATAACAGTGTAACATAGGATTGTAAGAGATTTATAATAAGGAAAACATTATTAAATCACTGTATCTGAAACTTAGGTATTAACCATCACACTGTAAGCTTACTGATAAGTACTGAGGTTTGGGAACAAATCAAGATAAGCTAAATTAAAAATCTGTAGATACAGAACTGGACATTACAGTGTCTGATAGAGGTACAGTTAATGCAGATCAAAATTTGATAATGCATACATAGCCGTTATTCTGTGATTTTCTATTTTGTTTTATTTTGCAATGCTAGAAATGAACCCTGGCTTCATACATGCTAGACTGTCACTCTAGTACTGAGTTACATACATAGCCCAATTTGTTTTTCTTCCTACAATAAAATAAAAACCCTTTAAAATAGATAAAAGATGCTGCTCATTTTAATCTATTTCCCCTTTTCATCTAATCATTGCAGTATGTGACCATGGCAGTGTAGAGAATGAATGATTGCTCAGAATAAAACTTAGTTCAGTCATTGAGAAAGCCCTGAGGTGCTATCTCAACTAAGAGCACCTAGAGTTAGAGAGACTCCCAGGATAAGCCCCAAGCCGAGAACTCTCCAGCTTTTATTTAGAATGTCAATATATGTGGGGAAAAAAGCAGAAGAAAAGCAGTTTGGCCAAGGAGCTGCCTCAAGGCTAGGCAATTTTTCTTGGGGAAAGGTGAAGGACCATGGCCAAACACAACATGTTTCACTAATCTAACCTTGTTTAACCATTCACTTCTCACAGAACCTGTGTGCTTTTACTGCACAGTTTAACCATTCACTCCATGGTCAAGTCTCCCATATCTAATCTCTTTTCACCTAGATAAAAACTCATTTCTTATCATTTAGAGCTACTCACAAGATTTTTTTTTTTTTTTGGTACTGGGGATCAAACTTGGGTCCTTGTGCTTGTGCAGCAGGCGGTGAAACCACTGAGTGAAATCCCTGGCCCACAAGATGTTTTATTTCTCATAAATAAGCTCTTTGTATGCCAGTTCCTTTTCAATGTTCATGTCTGCAAGTTAACTCTCAGGTAACCCTAAAATTGATTTTTTATATCTCTATTCCAGTAACTAGTTCCTTGTCCTCATATCCATTTTTTCAACTTTGCACTCTGCAATTTTTTCTTTTGTAATTTCCTTAAAATCCACACTCAGAGGCTTAAGCAGGAGGTTTGTAAGTTTGAGCCTTATCTGGGCAAGTTAAGGACTTAAGACCCTATCTCACATAGCAGTATTTTGTCTCAAAATTTAAAAAGGGCTGGGAATGTAGCTCAATAAGAAGGGCCTGGGTTTGAGCCTTAATCCTGAAAAAAAATAAAAAGGAATCCATTTGATTTGGAGAAATCTTCCTATGTACTGTAGCATTCTGTAAGTAGCCAAATGTGTGGAAATTAATAATCCATTTATAAATGAAAAGAAGTAGTGTAGCACATGCTATATGCTGCCTCTTGATTTATTAATAAAGCTGTTTCTATACCTTCATTCCCCTGTTCAAGAAAAATATCTAACTTAGACACAAGAGTATGAACAAAAAGTATGAACAAGATTTAAAAATTTCTTGTAGCCAAGTTTATCGCTATGTATCATTTCACATTTTAAATAAGAATTATTACTTCTGATGACAAAGCATTAAATAACTGGTTACAAATGGTTATTAAGTAAGTGGTTACACAGTAGTCTGTTGAAAATGTATCAGCCTACTCACATTTAGTCATAAGGTCTTTGACAAGGTCTTCTCAAATAATCATCATTTTGTATGACTTGAGGCCAGTTTACATCAAATCCATTCTACCTGGAGACTCAGGTCTATGGAGAAGTCCAGAGTTTAACCATATGGCATCAAACAGATCCATCTGCTCTTTTTCTCTACACAAGAATATGACAAGGAAAAATAGGAATTCCATTCCTATTCCATTTGCTCTTAACAAAAGACAGGAGTACTGAATATTATTTATTATTATTAAGTAGTGAATATTGAATATTATTTGGAGAAGACAGGCACACAAAAGGGATGCTTTCCTCTTGACTCTAGCTCTCACTAGAAAGTGAAAAAATAATTAGTATGCATTTATTAGAATCATGTAGGAACATTCAGAAAAAAGAGGAAAAATACTTACATGGCCCATGGTTATAATTGTAAGAATTGGTCAGGAAATTCCACTTCTGGGGTAACAGCATAAGGAGCTCCATGGACATGCTCCCTAGTGAAACTGGTAAAAAATTATTACTAAAAAAATATATATTAAGGTCTCCAGAAATGCTCCTAAGAACATACAGCAAATAAAGATACACTGTATGAGTCAAACCTGTGCCCCCCTTTGTCCATCTGATCTTACTGAGAAAAAGACTCTCCTCCAGACTGATACAGCCGAGGACACAGGTTTCCTCACTACTCCTGAACCTTGCTCCCAGTCACATGGTTATCTTCCTAGAAGGGGTGGGACATCATAATTTCTCATCCTTCCCTGGTTACCTGGGTTGTGCAGCCAAGGGATGGGGGGGTTCCCTTCTGTGCAGCCTCCATACATAAGATGTAGGGTTTACCTGGGTGCAGAATTGCTGAGAATGCTACAGTTCCAGTTATTTTGCCTTGGCTCACAGGGCAGGAGTTGCATGCTGCATGCCAAGATAGGCAACCTCTGAAGGGCTTGAATCCCCAATCTACCAAGCACTGCGGTCTCAAAGCAGGAGAATCGCTCAGAAAAGTACATGCCATTGCAGCTCAGAAATTTTGTCCAGGGGAGAAGCAGGCCAAAAATAGAGCTCAAATAACTTCACTGCAGCAGCATGTGGAGAAGTTTAAGTCAAAGAATACTATCAAAAATAATGAAAATTTAGGTGAAAGAAAATTGAGGCTGATAGACTAAGTGGAGTTATATATGTATGCTACATTATAGGCTGGCTAGTTTGCCAGAAACCAGAACACCTGGGAAGACATTTTCTGCTAGGAGAACAAATCTGAAACACTAACCTTAGGAAGTATCACTTCAACCATGCCCCAATTTGACTGCATTAGAGTGTGAAACAGTACATGCTTTAGGACACTACTAAAAACAATAATGCCACAGTGGAACTTAACAGCTCACTGTGTTTGGGGAAAGAAAGATAGCCCTGTCCAAAACAAATGTCATCTGAAGGTTACTGTAGTAACAGCCATATATACTCCCTAAGGAACAACATCAGAGGTTTTGGACTATGGTGGATATAAACATCATTGAAATAATACAGCCAGTCACTAAACAAGAGCCCAGTCAAACAACAGTAACAATTCTTGGGGCAAAGGCATGAGGACAGAAGTGCCAGAATTGAAATAATTGTCAAAAACATCCAATTTCTACAAAAAAAAAAAAATTGAGAGGCAAAGAAGCAGGAAAGTATGGCCCATATACTGGAAAATAGGCAGGCAACAGAAACTACTTGTGAAAGAGACCAGACTTGACAGGCAAAGATAGCAGAGAAGTCAAAGGCTGCAGGATACAGCTCAGGCTTTGATCCCTGGTACTCAAAAAAACAAACCAAAAAAAGTATTAAAAATAACCATTTTGGCCCGAGATTTAGCTCAGTGGTGCTGCCACCTGCCTCACAAGCTTAACGTCCCAATTTTGATCCCTGGTACAAAAAAAAAAAACTCATCTTGAAATTTTGGAATTAAAATGTGTAATAACTGAAATGAATATTTCCCTGAAGGAACTCAACAGTAGATACAGACTGGCAGAAGAATGAGCAAACTGGAAGATAGATTGTAGAGATTGTCTAAAAAGAACAAAGAGAAAAAAACAGAGCCTCAGAAAAACATGAAACATCAAATACACCAAAATATGTGTAATAGTAACACCAGAAGAGGAAGAAAAAGCAATAAAAAGTTCAAAGGAATAGTGGGCAAGAATCCCCAAGTTTATTGAAAAATATTAATTTATATATCCAAAAATCTAAATGAACAGGATGGATAAATACACTATTAAAAGCAGTTGTAGGGGTTGGGGAGTTCCCATACTACCCCTGGTAGAGCACATGCTTTAATCTGCATGGAACCTAGATTCAATCCTCAGCACCATAAGAACCCCAACATGGTATACATGCTAATCTTTCTCCTCTACTGCTTTAAAAATCAGTATTATGGAGCAATATGTATGTAACGGTTGGGCCTGTGACATTGAAATTAATCTGTTTGCCATGAACAAAAAACTTATTGCAGTAAGGAAATGAATCCAGTTGGTAACTCAGATCCACACAATCAAATGAAGAGAACCAGAAATGAGAAGAATAATATGATAAAAGCTATATAGTTTTTAATTTTTTCTTAAAGCTTTTAATAAAAACAGACATATACAGTAAAAATTAGAACAATGAATAGCTCTTTGAAACATTTAAGTGTAATGTGAATTACAGTATTACTACAAAGGGGATAAATAGGAATAGTTACATGGGAGTTAACATTTCTGTATCTCACTTGAATTATGCTAACATAACTCAGAACGTGGTTTTGATAACATGTATATGTTAAGCCATAGAGAATCACTAAAGAAATAATATAATGAACAAAATCATCCAAGAAATTAAAATACACATTAGAAGATATTCACTTCAAAAGAAAGCAGTAAAGAAACAATAGAACAACAAAAAAGAGTGACACAACTGAAAAAGAATGGCAGGTATAAATCCACCTAAGTTTGCCCATGACAACATTAAATGTAAATAGATAAAACAATCCAACCAGTGGATGGGCAGGGTCCTATAAACTCCACTATTTGGCGGTTCAGGGTGGAGGATCATTTGAGCCTAGGAGTTAAGAGACCAATCTGGGCATTATAGTAAGACATTGGCACCTTGTTTCAAAGCAAAACAAAAACCAAAACCATAATCCGGGCCAGGGTTTTAGCTCAGTGGCACTGTGAATGCCTCGCAAGCGCAACGTCTTGAGTTCAATCCCCAGTACAAAAACAAAACCATAATCCAATCAAGAGATAGATTACCAGAACAGATAAAAATAAAATTCAGCTATATGCCATTGTTATACATAGTTTGTGTCTCCTCCAAAATTCATGTGTTGCCAGTGATAGGAAGTAGACCCTTTAAGAGGTGTTTAGGTCATGAGGACTCTATATGGAGGAATCCCTTGTAGATGGGATTAAGACCCTTATAAAAGAGGCTTCATGACGCATTTGCCTTTCTTGGTCTTCCAACTTCTGCCATGCCCCATGTAAGTACATAAAGAGAATGCAGCACCAAAAGCCATCTGGGAAGTACAGAACAGCCTTTACGAGGAAAGTGAAGGTGCCAGAGCTGACATGAATTATGAAAAATAGCTTTCTGTTCTTCATAAATTACCCAGTCTCAGGCCTTGTGTTACGGCAGCACAAATGGACTAAAGCAAAAACTGGTGCCTCAGGAAAATAGGGTGTTGCTATAACAAATACCTAAAAAAGGTAAATGTGGGTTTGAAACAGTAGCAGGTGGATGACACTGGACTGGTTTTGAAATGAATGCTCTAAAAAGCCTTGATTGCTATGAATCAGTCTTCAAGGTGAGAGCTCAGAATAAAAAAAGAGCTGTACAGAAAGCCTTAATATTCTTAGAGATAAGTGGTCTTGAACAGCATGTTGGCAGAAACATGGAAAGGCAAAGGCCATTGTTATAAGGATATATTATTGCAAACTAGAGGAAGGGGAAACCTGTCCTCCATAAACAAAAATATTAAATCATTTTCAAGTGAACAAAAGCTAAAGGAGTTAATTAGAGCTGCTATTCAAGAAATACTAAATGGAGTCATTCAAGTTAAAACAAAAGGATATAAGAGAAACTTGAAGCTATCAGAAGATACAAAGGTTACAGTAAAGGTAAACATGGGCAAATATTAAAAACAACAAGTATTTTAATTGTGGTTCAAAATATCCCTTTAAGTTGTCTACAGAATTTAAAAGAATGCATAAAAAGTTTTATGTATGTTAATGAGTACACAATATACAAAGAATTTTTAGCCTCAGTAATGTAAGGGAGAACTATAAAGGAACTATAGAGAACTATAAAGGAGCAATGTTTCTGTATGTGACTAAGTTTCATTTGGTATCAATTTAAAAGAAGGGCTTTTACATGTAATTCTCATGGTAAACACTAAGAAGATACAAAAAAAGAAAAGAGAAGAGAATCAAGAAGTGCCACTATGAGTAAAGAGTTTTAGTTTAGGAAAGTAAGAAACCTAGAGAAAGGTAAAGAAGGGTGATGATTACACAGTAATGTGCACTTAATGCCAGTGAATTGTACATTTAAAAAGGACTACCATGGTATATATATGGAAAAATAAAACCCTTGTATTACTGATGAGAATGTAAAACAGGACAGTCCCTTTGGCAAGAGTCTCGCAATTCCTCAAAATGTTAAATATAAAATCACCACAAGAAACAGTAATTCCACTGCTAGTTATAAACCAAACAGAAACAGACACATATGTCCACACAACCACAACTGCACAAATGTTCTTCACAGTGTCACATATAGAGTCAAAAGGTGGGAAAACTGAAATGTACATCAACTGATGAAAGGATAAAATGAGTATGTCAGTATTAACTGAAAAGGAAAAAGATTTGAAAATGTGCTGGAGGAAAAGCGGATGCACAAATAGGGACAGGAAGGCATTGGGTAAATGGATAGATTACAATTAGGCAGGGCAATTTATTTTTTTTCCTTAAATGCTTTTATTGGTACTTTTTAGGTATACAGCACAATTACATTTCTCATTGGGAACTTGTACCTTTACATGATGCATCTTGGTTCTTATTTTTTCCCCATTCCTAGCCCTCCCTTCACCCCCTCCACTCTTCCCTATTTACAAAGACTTTATTTCCATTTTTTCCATTTCTCATCATTTTTCCTTTTCTTTCTTTCCTTTCCCCTGCCCCTCCCACTACCCCTACCCTTTTGGACCTTTTCTTCCTGTTTTGCATTATCAATTATTCATTCTAATCATTGGTACATTTTAGGTGTACAATATAATGACATTCATCGTTGGAAATTTGCACCTTTACATAATCTCTCTTGGTTCCCATCTTTCATCCTTGCCCAGTAGGCAGGGCAATTTAGAAGAAGGAAAGCAGAGTCTGTTCTGTAAAAACAGAAATATACATGATATAGTATGCACAAGGCCTTGGGCTTGGTCTCCAACATTGGAAAAAAAAAAAGTATTTGACAGAACAAAATTACAAACTGACCTTGAGTGGGCCATTAAATAGAAATGATCCCTTCTGCTTCAGGAGCCTTCTCTTGAAAAACTACAAGGTCAAAAAGAAAGGATTCGTGAGATCCTGAACTGGCTAATAAGAACATTATCCACCACCAGACAAGCCCCATCATACACCGTACATCCAGATGTAAGAGAGAAACTAAAAACCTGCTGACTCTTCCTTGTGTCAGAGAACAGTATCATCAGTGCCTAGAGTTCACAGCAGCTTTTAGGGGAGCACAGCTCAGGAAATCAGGAATGCTGGTGTTCTGAAATGTGTAAATTGCCTCCAAAGAACAGCCAAGGGGTTTTCTTGCAGGAAGGAATCCTACACCAGCCTGCTTCTCTTCCTATCTTACCAGGAGCCCATCTGGGAGGGAAGTGCAGTTCTCATCCCATGATACAAGATGTGTTTTTCTGCTTGGAACTTTCACTGAACGGTTAAAATTCATGACTTCCTCCCTCCGCCTTCTACACGGGATTGAATCCAGGGCCTTTGCACTAAGCTACATTCCAGCTTTTCAGTTTTTGAGAGGAGGTCTTCCTAAATTGCCCAGTCTGGGCTTGAATTCAAAATCTTCAAGCCTCAGCCTACCAGGGTGCTGGGATTACAGGCATGCACCACCACACTGGGCTTCATGATTCCCTTTCTGATGACTATTTCACCACAGCTAGATCCCATTGGCTACTGGATGTGAGGACAGAAGAAAAGAATCCAAGGAAATATGTTCCAAGCAAACATGGAATCTGCAGTTGGACCTAGGTGGACATTTCCATTAATGCCCAAGCCTGAGTACTAAGGACAAAGTGCCCAGAAGACAATCCAGGCATAATTAGGTGTAGGGGGACTTCAACAGGCATTGTAATCTTAACAAGCAGATATGTTCTTAAAGGAGAAATTAAGTTTTATAGAGAGAGAGATATTATATACATGTAAATACTGTATATAACGAGATATGCACAGCACAAAAATGGAGAAATGAGGTTACATACGCATTGAAAAAATCACACTACGGGTGGTCAGTCGATCAGTATCAAACCACGTCAATGTACTGTATACCAGGGTCACACAGTAGGCTCCGCCCCTACTCAAAGTCCCCATTTACACCAGTCAGGACACACACTCAACCTTCCCCACCCCCTCATACACAAACACTGTGCCACAACGTGACAGTCACAACAGCTCTTTACAACCATCGTCTTCAGTTCATGCTTGGAGAGGCTTGAGACACCAATTTCCATACTGCCTATCAGCACTGTAAAAGCATGGGACCTCTACAGTGAATTCTTCCTGCAGCCGGACCTGGATCACCTCAACTTACCACATGTAGCTCATCACGACACCGGAAGGGGAACCAAAACTTGAAGATCATTCATGGCCCTGAGCAGTGTGGGAAATGTAGTCCACTGCCAAAAATGGTATTGTTGCAGCACAGTGGAGCATCTCTGTGCCATACCCAAGTGTTACAGCTCAGTATCACAGCTAAGTGTCACAGCTCAGAGGCATGGCCAAGTGTTGCAGCCAAGTGCCACAGCTTGGAAGGCACAGCTGAGCTTTACAGCTCAGTGTGGCAATTCTGGGTGTCAGCTCTCATTCTTTGAAGACTCGAGAATCCAAGGGTCAGTTGAAGAGGTGGAAAAAAGTCCCAGTAGGCTCAGAGGAGTCTGAGCCCCCCACCAGAAATGAAAGCCTCCTTGTATAGAGATCTATAGGGTAGGTGAGGATGCTCAATGAAGCGGGGGAGGGGGGTTACAGAACATTCCTGAAACGTGCTGTATGAGCATGCTCACTGAAGTAGGGGGTGGAGTTACAGAACATTCCTGAGAAGGGGTGGGGCCTGACAGAACCTTCTTGTGAGGGGACAGAGGTTAACAGAACATCCCTTAAAGGTCACAAAAATCAAACAGTCATAAACCATTTTGATACGTTGGGCAGGAGCCCAGCAACACAAACTTACATTTCCAAAACAAAACGTTCTGTGGGAAAAAGAAAAAAAAATGGAGGCAAGGCAAGGGCCTGCCTTATTGTATAGCACTTCTCCATCAGTGTCCTTGTGACACTTCTGCACCAAACGGGAGACTCTTGTGAGTTGTTGAGTTTCCGGATTATGGTCCAAAGTGAGTGAAATAAGGTTGAGAAGGTTGAAAGCCAGGCCTATAAGTAGCCAGAAGCCCGAGCCAGTGAGGGCGGAAGAAGGAACCGGAAGGCCATGCCAGACTGGTGGAAGAAGCGACCAGATATCTCAGCACCCTGCCCCATAAGTTAGAGCCCTGGAAACGCAGGCCCCAGAGGATTGAGAAGAAAGAGAATCCTGCATACTGCAAGTAAGAAACTCTAGACACCAGGCTGATGCGGTCGGAAGAAGGAACAAGAAGCGTGGGTTAAGAGTATTGGTTCCCACTGGGAAGGCCGTAGGGAGAGGTTGGAGCCCGGCCTGGGGAGTTTTCTCATTACTCAGTTCTGGAGGGGTGGGGCCTCAGTCGGTATGGTCGGTGGCCCTGATCTGGGTGACTGGAGTCAATTTTTTCCCCAGGAGAAAGCTCCAGCACCCACAATAGCATCTGGCACGGTACTGGATGCTCAGTGCATGCCAAGAAGTTGTCTGGTATCCCTTCTCAGTTCATTTTGCAACAAAGATAACCATAGTTCTGATTCTTGTCAACAAAATTTAGTTTTTTAGTTACACAATTCCATGTCTCCTTTAGCTCATGATGGCTCTGCGATTTCTTGGTTGACTTTTAAAAATTTCTGATGAATTGTCTGAATATGCCACAGCTTGTTTATTCATTTTTCTCTTGATGACATTTTACTTAATTCCAGGTCTAATACATTATGAATAAAACTATCATGTTTTCATTTTTCCTGCATAATATCTAGAAGAAAAATTGCTAATTGATGTTTTAACTTTCTAAAAAATTGATAAGCATTTTAGGAGAATAAATTATGAAAGTGTTCAAGACTGTATGTGACTGGAGTAAGTAGTTTCTGAGTTTGGTATCTTTGTATAGAATTATGCTTAGTTGGATTATGAATGTGATATGGGAGAGCTTTTGTTTATGTGGGTTATTTCTATTATCTTCCATATTATAAAGCTGAGAAAATTTAAAATATTGATTCACTTAAACTTGTTAGCATAACACACATTTAAAATTTGTGGTACTGAGGATTGAACTCAGGACTTTCATACTGAACTACATCCCAAGCCCTTTTTTTTTTAATTTTATATTTTGAGACAGGATTTGTGTAGACTGGACTCAAACTTGGGATCCTCCTGCCTCAGCCTCAGCCTCCAGGAATGCTGGTATTGCAGGCGTGCACCACTACTCCCTGCAACAACATTCTAAAAAATGAAAATCTCTGTATTTTATTCAGAAAATTGGTGAAGAGTATCACTGATTTTATGTTTTTGGAAAACTCTTTAATGTGTAGTTTAAAGTAAGAGCTAGATTCTCTAGCTTGCTTTTGCATTCAGTTGTCATCAAAATGTGTGAAGAAAATCCAGCTTCACTTAAATATGCAAATGCTTGCTGAGCAGGAAGTATGGAAGATGGAGCCTATTGTGTTCAGGTAGGTGGGGCGGTCCTAGGGAGTCTAAATACTTTTGGTTGTTGGAAGGCCAGTCACCTCCAGCAGCACTGCAGGTGCTTCTCCTGCTTCCACTTTGCTGGGTCCAGGCTACGGTCCATCAGCACCCACTGCTTGCGCTGACCTGGCCACTGGGATGCAGCTCAGCTAGACTGGGCTCCACGCGGGGTATGGCCTGCCAGGCCATCCCAAACAGCTGGGCTAGAACCACCAGCCAACTCCCCCCACCCCCCAACTTCTCCACAAAAGAATTTTTTAAAAGACAGCAGTTTATGGAACTGGGCATGGGAGGGGGTAATCCGAAATTGATTTCATCAGATTCCCAGAAGCAGAGGAAAAAGAATGTAGGACTGAAAAATAAATGAAGAAATGATGGCAAAAGCTTTCAGGTTTGGTAACTTAAGAGATTCAGATCGCTAAATGAACCCAAAGAAACCTGCAGTTCTAAGATAGTAAAACTAAATTCTATCTACCTGGAATTCTATCTGGAGTAACTATATCCTATGTAGCAAAGAATCAGAATACAATTTGCAACTTTTTTTTTTTGGTACTGAGGATCAAACTCAGGTCCTTGCGCTTGCACAGCAGGTGGCAGAAACCACTGAGCTAAATCCCCAGCCCACAACTCTTTTTTAAAAAAGGATAAAAGTGAAAGAACACATGAAGACTAAATTCATGGTAAACAAACATGAGTGGGCACATTCCCCTGGTTGGTCAATATGGATGTCTAAATTGAAAAACAATTTGGCTATATCTAATAGGGTTTAATGTACCTATTACAGATGACTGAGTAGTTAGCACTTTTTCTTTTGTTTTTGTTTTTTGTTTTGCTATGTAGTTCAGGCTGGCCATGAACTCACTATGTAGCCTAGGCTGGCCTCGAACTTGAGGTGATTCTTCTGCCTCAGCCTCCCAAATGCTGGCACTATGTCTGTTCTGATATTGTGAAATACATATATATTTCCTCCTGTTTTTTGGTATACAATGCCTAATATCCTTAGAATCTCCAAAGTGCTGTCTTTCTATCTGCTAATCAATTGATGGCTGGCAGCCCTGAGGTAGCTTCAAGATGGGGGTTGTTCAACTGCGAGAGGCAGGATTATGGTTGGAACTTTCAGATCTGGTGAGGAAATGAGGGTTAAATTGACCACCAGTGGTCACTGGTTACATCAGTCATGCCTATGTAATGAAACCTCAATTTAAACCCCCAAAAGACAAGGTTTGGAGAGCTTCCAAATTGCTGAACAAGTGGAGGTTCCTGGAACACAGTGTGCTCATAAAGGACATGGAAGTTCTGTGCTCCTTCCCCCATTCCTAACTTCACACATCTCTTTATCTGTGTCCTTTGGACTATCCTTTAAAATAAACCAATAAACATGTTTTCCTGAGCCACTCTGGCAAATTCATTGAACCTGAAGAAGGGATTATGGTAACCCTGATTTACTGCCTGACAGAAGCATAGA